CCAACTTACGGGACTCAGAATGTAATGGCAAATTTGCGGTGGAAAGCCACACACGCTGGCCACGAACGTAGCGCGGACTCTTAACCCGACGCCTATTGGCGGTGATGCTCATGCGAGTGTTAGAGCGACGAAGTGCAGTTCTCACCCTCCTCCAAGTGCTTTTACAACGGTCAATATAGGCCTGAGCCGACGGTGAATTGGATACAGTCTCCTGAGACGAAAATAAAGGAGGCTGGTAACCGAGGCAACAGTGGAAAGGTGAAAGACCCGTAGCAGAGGATGGGAGGGAATTATGCGCATACTCTGCCCAGGCCAGTTGCTCAGACCATGACGTGGGACAACGATGAGCAAGGCTGCGGAGAATGCGGACAACAATCTGATTGGCGCGTTCGGCTTGCCCATTGGTTTGGGGATGAAAACCCGACGAGAGGCTGGCAGTAGCCCCAATGAGACGGCAAAACTCCTTCCAGAAGAAAGCGGAGAATTGCGGACCTCTATCAGAAACCACGTCGGTAGGTAACCCATGTACTTTGAAAACATGATCTACCATTATCTGGGCTGTCTCTTTGGCAGATGGGAGTTTAGCGAGTGGGATGAAACGTGCGGATTTTGAAAAGCGATCGACAACAGTTAAGATAACCGTATTGCCAGCCGACGAAGGAAGCCCGGTAATGAAATCAAGAGCTATATGAGACCAGGGTCGAGCTGGAACAGGGAGCGGTCGAAGCAAACCAGCTGGGGGAGAATTGCTGGTCTTGGTTTGTGCGCAGGTAATACAAGAGGCGATAAAGCGACGTGTATCGCGTCCCATAGTGGGCCACCAGAAGCGCTGGCGGATAAAAGCAAGAGAGCCCCGAACGCCGGGATGGGCAGACAATTTGGACGCATGTCCCCATTGGAGAACAGCGCGGCGAACGGACATGGGAACAAAAAGGAGATCCTTAGGACAGTTACGCGGCACGGAAACCTGAGATAGAGCGCGTTTGACTAACCTCTCGACCCCCCACACGGCGGTACCCACGACACGACCGGGAGGAATAATAACCTCAGGGGTAACGGCAGCGGTGGGGGACTCAAAGAGGCGAGAAAGGGCATCAGGTTTGACATTCTTAGAACCTGGGCGAAATGAGATGGAAAAGTCAAAACGCGTAAAAAACAGAGCCCAGCGGGCTTGACGGGCATTGAGTCTTTTAGCCGAACGGATGTATTCTAAATTTCGATGATCTGTCCAAACGACGAAAGGAACGGGAGAACCCTCCAACCAGTGTCTCCATTCGCCCAGCGCCAAACGAACGGCGAGCAGTTCACGGTTGCCAACATCATAATTTCGTTCGGAGGGCGTGAGGCGATGAGAATAAAATGCGCAGGGATGTACCTTTCCGTCCGTAGAAGAGCGCTGAGAAAGGACGGCCCCGACCCCGACCTCCGAGGCATCGACCTCAACAATAAACGGTTCCGAGACGACGGGAGAGACTAAGATAGGAGCGGAGGTAAAGAGGCTCTTTAGCTGGACAAAAGCCGCGTGAGCAGCCTCTGACCATCTAAAGCGGGACTTAACAGACGTCAGCGCAGTGAGGGGCGCGGCTACTTGGCTAAAGCCTTGTATGAATCGACGGTAAAAATTGGCAAAACCAAGAAAGCGTTGAAGCGCGACCCGAGAGTCGGGAATGGGCCATTCAGTGACCGCCCGGACCTTTGCAGGATCCATACTGATTCCCTCCGCCGAAATGACTGAGCCCAGAAACGTAACCGACGCGACATGAAACGAACATTTCTCTGCCTTGACAAAGAGTCGATTCTCTAACAGACGCTGAAGGACTCGACGAACGTGCTGGACATGAACTTGAAGTGAGGGAGAGAAAATGAGAATGTCATCGAGATAGACAAATACAAATATATTTAGCATATCTCGTAAGACATCATTGATAAGGGCTTGGAACACGGCCGGAGCGTTGACCAGACCGAACGGTAGAACCCGGTATTCAAAGTGACCGAGGGGCGTATTAAAAGCGGTCTTCCACTCGTCACCCTCCTTTATACGAACAAGATGATAAGCGTTACGAAGATCAAGTTTGGTGAAAATCTTAGCTCCCTGTAGGATCTCAAAGGCTGACGACATTAAAGGCAAGGGATAACGGTTCTTGACCGTAATCTCGTTCAGCCCTCGATAATCGATACAGGGACGTAACGAACCGTCCTTCTTTTTGACAAAAAAGAAACCTGCTCCGGCGGGTGACGAGGATGGAACAATAGTACCGGCATTAAGAGAATCGGACAGATAATTCTCTAGCGCCTTCCTCTCGGGAGTCGATAGAGAATATATTCTGCCGCGCGGGGGCGTGGCCCCTGGAAGAAGGTCGATACTACAATCGTACGGACGATGGGGGGGGAGAGAAGTGGCCCGGGCACGACTAAAGACCTCCCGCAGATCGTGATAACCCTCCGGAACTCCAGACAAATCACCGGGCTCCTCCTGAAAAACAGAGACAGAGGAAACAGGAGGAACAGCAGAGGTTAGACACTCAACATGACAAGACAATTTCCATGACAGAATGGATCCGTCGGACCAGTTGACGTGGGGATTATGTTGTACTAGCCACGGATGACCAAGTACCACAGGAGAAAAGGGGGAACGAAAAATTAAAAAGGAAATTGTCTCTTTATGGTTACCCGAGACGGTAAGCGTCAGAGGGATAGTCCTCTGCTTTATCCTGGGAAGGAAGCTACCATCTAGGGCATAGAGGGGGGTAGAGTCTTTTAAGTCTATGAGAGGAATACCTTGTTTCTGAGCCCACCCCTCATCGAGGAAATTCCCCTCCGCCCCTGAGTCGATCAGAACCTCGCAGGAGACAGATGAAACGGGCCACCGAAGAAGTCCCGGAAGGGTAGTACAAGACTTGGATGGAGAGTTCCTAGACATCACGCTCGCCAGTAACCCTCCACCTACTGACGAGCTCTGGCTTTTACCGGACAGTTAGTGACAAAGTGGGTGGCTGACGCACAGTACATACACAGACGATTGGTAATGCGTCGCTCGCGCTCCTTAGAGGTAATACGGAGACCACCAAGCTGCATGGGTTCTGGGTCCGTGTCAGAAGCATGAGGAGAAGCGTTAGTGGAAAAAGTTGGAACCAGGGCGGCTTGGGACCTACGTGCTCTGTGACGCAAGTCAAACCGCTTCTCGATCCGGATCGCCAAATCGATGAGATTATCAAGTCGAGCCGGCACCTCGCGCATGAAGATCTCGTCCTTAAGGTCAGGATTCAACGCCTCCAGAAAGCGCGCAACCAAAGCCGGCTCGTTCCACCCGCAGGATGTTGAAAGGGTGCGGAACTCAATGGAGAAGTCAGTGACCGAACGTCTCCCCTGGCGAAGAGACGAAAGAAGTCGTGAAGCCTCCTCGCCATGTGCTGACCGGTCGAAGACACGGATCATCTCCTGTTTGAAAAGTGTGAAGTCAAAGACGCAATCACCCTCTGCCTCCCAGTTAGCCGCTCCCCAGTCCCGGGCCCGTCCAGCGAGGAGAGAGATTACATAGGCGACCTTGGCTCGCTCCCGGGCGTAAGTGGCAGGTTGTAGCGAGAAAACTACCTCGCATTGAGTGAGGAATGAGCGGCATTGAGTAGGCTCACCGGAATAGACAGGAGGGTTGTTGATACGTGGTTCAGAGCCCTCACGGGTCTCAGAGGCGGGTGGCTCGTGGCGTACCAGATGAACCTGATGAGAGAGGTCCGCCATCTGATTAGCGAGAGAGTCGACAGCCTGGCGAGCGGTGGATATCTCCTGCTCGTGTCTGCCCAGCATGGCACCCTGAAGTTCGACTGCCGCTTGAAAGGGAATGCCGCTCGCTTGGTCCATCCTTGGTCAGTTTATTCTGTTACGGTATTTAGAGAACAGAGGACCAAAAGCGAGTTTTCACAATGATAACAGTCTTTAATGAAAAGAGGCACGAATCACTGAATTAAATAAGGAACATAAATCTTCTCAGGATTCTCAGGTACCAGTCCAAACAGAAATCTTCACTTGTAGAAAAGGAACACAAACAGCAGGACGTAGAAAGTATAGTCACTGGGAAACTTGAAACGCGGCCACGCGTTTGGCGAGGCTGAGACCCCAGTGCAGACTGCCGAGAGAGAGACGAGACCCGTTGAGTGTACCGTAGACTGGATACGACGTCTGGCCAGGAACACAGCGTCTGAATTGGCAGGGCAGAGTTATGTGAGCGTGCAAGATAACGGAAGAATCTACCAGCACAAGGCGAAGCATCCACACGAACCACACAGGACAGGACAGGACGGGACAAGACGCGACTCTTGATGAGAGAGGTAAGAGCAATGTTATCTGCATGTATAGTTTGCAATAAACTGACAAAAGACAGAGAAAGAGAGAGTTAGAAATAGTAGGAAGCATTAGAGGAAAGGAGAGACAGGTGTGGGGAGATTAAGATAAACGGGAACAGCTGAACCTGATGAGACAAAAGAGAAAGTGTAGAGAGTGAATGTAATGTGTGACCACAAGAGGGAGACAGAGAAGGGAGGAACCCGGATCATGACAAAATAAGGAAGAATAAGAAAATCAGTACAAACACAAAAACACATTCGGTGCTTGGACCTTTAAAAAAAATATTTTGGGCTTTTTTCTCCCTTGTTTTCTGTGAATACCCCTCTCTCTCTCTCTCTCTCTCTCTCTCTCTCTCTCTCATTTAAACCTGCGCATCTTGTCTCCTTTTGGAGCTATAATGGACGGCTCTGCCCACTTCTATCGCTCAACAAGCTTTCTTGTGATTCTGATGAGATTCAGATACTCAGCCTGTGATTGGTCGAGGGCTGATGACTCACTCCTACAGGCTGTTGGGAGGAAGGCAGAACTGACACTCAGAGAGGAAAATGAAAGCATCTTCCTCACCGCAAACACTCTCCATAACGCTGAATCCTACAAAATCCTAACTAAAGAGAAGGTAAAACATCCACAGAACCCCAGTCTGAGACAAAGGAAGATCGCAGCCAGCTACCAATCAGAAAGCCTGCCACACACTGTAAAGACAGGAAAACACCGACCAGCCAGAAAGAGGGAGAAGGAAATCAAGGTAAGTATAAAAACCCTGTATGATTGAGTAGCAGAGAGAAATGACAAATGTAATGCGTATAACCCTTTAATACTGTGTATGTTTGAAAGAAGATGAAATGTATATACTGTAATGAATAGAGTATAAAATAGATTAAGTTAATATAGCCTATGTATGTGTGTGTTATCTGATGTATATGATGATTTAAGAAACTGGTATTTATGCGATTCGTTTGAACTGAACTGAGTGTGAACTGCAGCCGGTTATAATGAGAAATCTGCAGAATTAGTTTATCTCGGGGGTGTTAGCAGAGCACATTGCGCAGTTATATGTGCTTTAAATGGTGTGTGTGTGTGCGTGTGTGTGTGTGTGTGTGGGAGAGAGAGAGAGAGAGAGAGAGAGAGAGAGAGAGAGAGAGAGAGAGAGAGAGAGAGAGAGAGAGAGAGACCCGTGCGCTTTGTATGTGCCAGCAATTGCATTAGTTTCTCTGTATATTTCCAGTTATGTGTATAAATGTAACATAATGTGACATGATTGTGTGTGTTTAGATATAAAATGAATAGTTTGTGCTGGTATGATTAGAGGTGTGGGTAATGCAGTTGGTGTTCAATAAAATTTGTCAAAATGCTGTTAATGCGTATATTGATATAAAGCAATAAATATCAATAATAATTTAGTTTAGCCTTATGACACACACTGTGTGTGTATGATGTGTATGTCTGTTTAACTTAAACTAAAAATATATTAATTTCAAGTGTGTGTGCATATTTTCTACATGTGTCTGTAATGTTACACAGTGTGTGCCAATGGTGTGTAGTGCGCACCTCTTTGAGCTGTGAGATACGTGTGTGTGCCCGGGGTTTGTGTGTATATGTATTGTGTGTTGTGGTGTGTGTTCATGCCTGCACAGCTCTGTAATCGAGTGGGTGGCAAGTGAGAGATGGTTCAGCTTGTGCAAGAGCAGAGTGTGAGTGTGTGTGTGTGTGAGTGAGAAGAGAGATGCTGTGAAAACGCCACAGAGATGAGTGTTAAATGAGCACATTCTCCTCCTCCTCCTCCTCATATCCTCAGTGTTTCATATCGTTGATCTCGAGGGGAGAGATCTGTGTGTCTGCTGTTGTCATTACTTCGATCTGCTTTACATATTTCATGGATTACCGCAGACATATGCGCCCGTGATCGGGTTAGGGGCCAGACGTTTGGCGGTTATGTAACTATTCAGATTGGTGCCTTTAATGTAACATGTCAAGTGTAAAATGTATAATCTCATTTCTAATAAAAAGGAATCTATATTCACTCATTATTACATTTTTCAAATATATATATATAGAAATGAATAGGTAAATAATTGCACACATACGGTAGTGACCCAAGCTGACCATCGAGGATACATGCAGTATTTTGTTTCTCTTTTCAGACCTTTAAATATTGTAATGCACAAGCTGTGGATAAACTATGGACACGTGTGATCACATCAATAAGGACGTTCACTCCAAGATAAATGAATATGAATAACTTAGGGTGAATTCCAATCAAAAGTAAGAATCCTTGTGCCCTACTCATTCTAAAGGACAGAGCCTTGAAGTGGGAAAGACGATGTCATTTCCTCTTTATCTGCATGTTACCATGACAACACTGCACTGTCTGCATCACCCTGTTAGCTGTTCTAATGATGACATGTCTCATTTATTGATTTTAATTGAATTGTTGAATTGCTAGACCCTGCAGATTTTGCTAACATCTCTAATAAACGCATTCCTTTCCTTGGAAGCTTTTACAAACTATATATTCAAATATATTTCATGCATGATGGAAATGTGTGTGATACATCACAGCAAAACAACACACTCCAGTCTGAAGCCTTAGAGAAGCAGAGCAGTCCATTGGCTGATGACACGAACGCCACGCTTTGACTCGTCCGGCAATCCTCAGATGAAGGAAGGTAGCAGGAGCCAAGGAGTAAGGCAGCATCTCGCTCCCTAGTTAGGGTATGTTCCTCAGGCCACTTCTCCTTCGCTGCTCAGTCACAGGCCGACTCCAGGCTGCAGTTTATCAGGTTTAGTCATGACTCCTGGTTCCCAGATCTGAGTGAACAGCAGTCGGGGATTGTGTTGGTCTGTGTGAAGCGTGTCGCTGTGGAAAAGTGTTCAGCTATTGAGCTATGAACGGGAATGTCTCGGCTACGGATGTAACCCTGCGTTACGAACCCCTAGTTACATTCGGCAGAAAGGGGGAACCCAACATGAAGAAGGACACTACCAAAATATAGCGCATACACATTTATTTAAATAGTGAAACTTACCATAACACAAAGAAAACATGCATCATAACAAGAAGAAATAAAACAAAGATGTTTCAAAAATAATTAACAAACTAACAACAATAGGACAACTCAAAAGTATTAAAGCAAAAAATATTAACAAAACCACAATTAAGAAAGAACCCAACAGAAAAGGGAAAACAAACACAAATACAAAGCTTATTTGCTTGCAAGGCGAATCTCCTCTCGTCCTCTATATAGTGAATCAGCAAGGCATGCGAGGAGACGCAGGTGCACAGGAGCGGAGCGAGCTCTCGGAGAGAGAAGTCCTGGCGTCACGCAGGAGAAACACACTCGAGCCGGAACTAACCCGGGAGCAAAACCCATTCAACATCTCATCACCAATAAGGCCTACAAAACACCCAATCTGCTAGAGGATGTTGAAGCCATCAACTGAACTACTAAGACTACAGAAGAGTCCCAAGAAGGACGAGCAGGACCTGGAGGTTTCGCTCGCCTCGTCCCACGCATGAACGGAAGACAAGCGGTCTCTAACTAACACCCTCTGTTGGAATGGGGAATCAGCCTCTATCTCCTGGCCAGTCCATCGGGAAACTCCACAATGTGTTTTGCACACAGTTCAGTTCCTGGAGCTTTCTGCTAACAGTCAGAGTTGTAGAGAGAATGTGCTACGATTGGTCAGCATAATGTGACTGTTATCTGATTGGCTTGAGTAGACAGTGGATGGAGATCCACTATTTCAGACTGATCTCATGAAATGGCGTATGTATGACACGCCAATTCGTATTTCCATAATTGGCGTGCTATCAACACGCATAATCGCTTTTCAGCGTGTTTATCAACGCCTTGACTTAACGTTACATTACTGTATATATCTAAATATATGACCTACCCCAACCCCGTCCCTAACCCTACCCGTCACTGGGGTTAATACCATTTATGAGTCTTCCCCTACCATCCTAGGAAAAAAAATATTGCTCCACAGATGTAGATATAGATTTTGCTTCGTTTCGCTCGGACATTTAACAGCGTACACATACACGCAAAAGATGACGGTTCGTTTCGGCGCGGACACACACGCGGATAGCTCAAAATGCGTATAGATAACACGCCACTTGACTTGAAAGTGGCGTGTATGTTTACGCAAAGTCATGATGCCATGTTGACTATTTGAAGATCTAACCTATTTGTGGATTTTTGTGTACGTTTTGAAATGTTTCGAAATCCAAAAATGCGTGCAGCCATCCACAAATGTACAGGAAGCGATTCACAAATGAGTGCCAGGTAGAGTTGTGTTTGTGACATAAAAACATATTTGTGAATGATTTTTTATTGTTTTATTGTATTCTTTTAATAATTTAATACATTTTTGTGAAATTCCTGACATATATTTGTGGATCCCATTCTATTTATTTTTGAATATGTTTAAAATGCCCCTTTTATGCTTTTTTAGATATTACCTCTCAAACAGTGGGTAATAAAGCTGTTTGTGAATGTAAAAGGTCTGCAAAGTGCAGATAAACAGAGTTTTTGTCTCCTTAAAGAAAGAAGCAATTCTGAACTGCTGAAACCAGTCGTCAGTACTCTTTTCATTTCTTCTTACTTCTGTAACATTCACACATAACAATGTAACAAATTTGCATAATGCCCTCCTCTGGTCTTCATTGGATGCCCTCAAACACAGTAGCTGGCTCATGTTGTGTACATGTCCAGAAGAAGCTGTTTTCTGCTCTGCAAAAGAAAATTCTCTTTGTATACACTTCCAAATGATGAGGATGTGAAGAGTCAGTGGTTAAAATTATCACCGCGATACAACAGCAGTATAACTTTTTGTTATGTACCCGTCATTTTACTGACGACTGCTTGCGAGGTAAACACAGGATTTGCCAAACGCTTATCCATTAAAGATGGGGCAGTACCCAGATTATTTGGACCAACTTGCTCCTCTGAATTCCAACCTGTAAGTATGATTCATTTTTGATGTATATATTTTCTAGCAAGTGTTCAAAATACGTAGTTTGGTGTAGTATATTTTGTATGTCTCCGGCTAACCGGCTAACTCACGCTATTACTGTCTTACTGAAATAGTTCTGCTAATCAGCTGTGGGCCACTATTACCTAAAACTGTCTATTAATGCAGATTGTCTGTTTTTCTTACTACTTTGAGTAAAAATAAAGGATGTAGCAAGATTTGTTTTAATGTTACATCAGTTATTTACGTTAGTGCTGGGCGAACATATGCACCGTTATTGATACCATTAACAATACAGTTCCCACATGTGCACCTAAAATATACACATCAGATTGTTGATGGACATACACTTGTTAATGCTGATAGAGGCATCTCATAATGCACAACAAACTGAGTAAAAACGTATCATTGAGAAACGTCCCGTTCGAGTCGTCCTTGCGATGGAGGTTTGGGTCGAATAACTAGTTCTTCCAATGTTTCATCTTCGGTTGATTTCAAAATCAACACTATCGTTTCTGTCCTTCCAGTGTGTACAATCACTGAGCATTTTCGAAGCCTCTAGAGCTGAAATTCAGATAAGGTAATGGCTGTTTCTCTCTCTGTGGTCATTAAAAATCCCATGACACTTCTCGTAAAGAGTAGGGGTGTAACCCCGGTGTCCTGGCCACATTCCACCCATTGGCCCCTGCCAATCATGGCCTCCTAATAATCCCCATCCACTGAATTGGCTCTATCACTCTCTCTCCTCTCCAACTATAGCTGGTGTGT